TGGCCAATTTGTCTTCTTGAAACTTCTGAGGCCAGGCATGGTAGCACATACCTATATAATACCAGCATATGGGAGGTATAGGCTGGAGTACTTTCTTGTCAGACCATGTCTCAAAAAAGCAAAGCAAACCAAATCAAACAGTACAGACTGGATGGGATCTTGTGGTGATTTCACTGAAAAACAAATAGGTAGTGCTTCAGACTAGGTCTATGCTCTTCCACTTAAAGTCATTGTGATGATCAAGTCATATTTACATTGAGAAATGTCACTTACAATGAGATGTAGATATATAATGAGATAATGAGATACGTGATGCCCCGTGTTCATATAGGATCCTTACACTGACCCTGCTACACTGTCCTGGTGAGTTCTGTGATGGTTTAAAGACCATGAGAAAGTCATGTTGGACTAATGGTTGGTGCCCAGGGCAGCTCTTGCTGGACTGTGACCCTAGAGTAGCATTTCAAAGACCCAAAGGGTATTTCATCCTCAGCCTTCCCCTATTTCCTTTGAACAACACCCCTGCTATGTCCTCACTCTGCTTTTGAACTCTCAGCTTCCAAAGTTAACGATAAAGCTCCCATTTGCCAGTCCATGAGATTGTTGTAGTCACGCAATTTTGAAGGTTTCCTGGAAGAAAGATGAGAGAAATGAGCTTAGTTTTCCCTGATCTCTGCCCAGGCATATCTGTTCTGTGGGCGTCTGGAGATCTTCCCAGAAAGAAGATCTCAAAGTCCTCAATGCCAGTCATGAGTAAGAGTTTCATTGAAAGAGAGAAAGGGGGGGGGAGAGGAGAGAGAAACCTCTCCAATGCTCCAATGCAGTGATAGGAATGAGAAGTACCAAGTTGGTTAACACTGGCGATTGTTTATCTCTACCCTCACTGAAGACCTGAGAGAAAGAAGAGCCATCTCATTTACTTCCTTTCCCTTGAAATTCCTGCACCAATTCCTCTCATTCCCCCCAAGGACTCAGTACTGCTATTGGGAATCAGCTGCCTGAGATTGAGCTGCCTGCCTAGGACTACAACCTTGGGCATGTCAGGTAATTCCCCTGCCTTGTGCATCTTATAGAATAGATTGAGAATATTTTATCCCTCTTTATCTTCCATTCAACTTTACCAAGGACAGTCACTATGAAAGTGCTAAGGAAATTCCCTCCCAGTGAGGTTAGTCTGTGTTTTCAATAAAGGTGTCAAAATGAGACCTTTCCTTCTACATTCATAAATCATCAGGGCAACACAATTATTAGGCAAAATGTATACAAATGTAAAAAATAAACATAGGTACCTGAGTGACCTTTGGGGGTGGGGGACAAGCAGTGAGACAGTGTTTCTCTAGCCTTGACTCTCCTGGAAATCATTATGTAGCCCAAGCTGGCCCCAAACTCAGGCAATCCTCCTACATCAGCTTCCTAAGGGATAACACTATAGATGGGAGATACCATGCATGACTTATTTTTCTAGCTCCTGTGATAGGATACCTGAAATAAAGAAAAAAGGAAAAAAAACTCCCTTGGGCTCATGGTTCAGGAGACACAGTTCATTATTCTTGTTGGGAATGATGGTGGGAGCTGCCACTGGCTGGAGCAGCAGAAACCGGAATCAGCTGGCTACAGCCTGTCAGCAGTCAGAAAGGACAGAGAACTCTGGGAAGAACCAGGCATAAGCAGGAGCTCCTAAGTCCCGCCCCTACTAACCTACCACCCTGACTAACCTACTTCTTCAAACAAAGCCTTCCTCTAAAAGCCTCATAGTCTCCCAAAACATTGCCACGAGCAGGGACTAGTGTTGAAACACACAAGCCTAGGGGGATCATTTCACATCCAAACCATAAAAACAGGACACTGGAAGGCAAGCCTATAAAGGCAAAAAATGAACAATATGAGACTCTGGATTCTTGAAATATCTCTGCTTCTCTTGTGTACTATCCTCTTAAACCCTGGTTCTGTACATCAGACAGGACAAGTTTGTGCCCTATCTGGTCTCCTGTCCCTTAACTTAAAGGAAAAAGAACCTGAAGGTCCACAGTTGACAGTTGCAGTCTCAGGGCATGCACTATCTAGGTGTGGTATTTCAGTAATATTATGAGCATCCTTGCATACACCAGCTAACTCTCCAAACCTCTTGTATGTTTGCTACAGTCATTGTAGCAAAACTCGGTGGACTAGATGGCTTAAACAAGAGGAACTTATTTTCTCACAGTTTGGAGGCTTGAAAATCCAGACCGATGTGTCATTGGGCTTGGTTCATCCTGAGGTTCTTTTCCTTGGCTTCCAGTCAGCCACCATATCTGTGTTTCATTCACTCTTTCCTCCATGCACTCTTGCTGTCACATCAGTCCTACTCACATAGAGCTTACACTGAAGACCTAATTTTAATTTAGTGAATAATTTGGAAAAACCTTATGCTCAAATCTAGCGGCATTCCAAGGTTAGGGCTTTAACACAAATGCAGATGGCACAAATTAGCTTACAATGGAATCTGTAAACTCAAGTGGAGGATATAGACAAGAACATCACTTAGACAATATTTTCTAAACAAGCCATCATACAAAGATCATATCATCAATATTGTTACTTTTATGTTGCTATAATAAAACACCACAACCAAAAGATGCTTATGGAAGAGTTTATTTATGGTCCCAAAGAGGTAAGAGTCCATCATGGCAGAGAAAAACAGAAGCAAGAGGCAGGCATAGCAGCAGAAGAAGAAGATGAGAAATTATATATCAAACACAAGCAGAAAGTAGAACTGGCCCTGGTGGGTCCAGACAGCAATTTTACAGACAGCTCTCAGCAAATAGTATATGTGGTTGCCACTGAGAGAAAGCCATAGTGATTTCTGATGGCTACCCTTTGGTCTTAATTAGAGTTGCTGTGAGGAAACACCATGATGAAAAGCAAATTGGGGAGGAAAAGGTTACTTTGGCTCACTCTTCCAGGAAGTCAGGACAAGGCAAGTTACTGGCTAACTCAACCTGATTTCTTATAGAACTCAGGACCAACACCCAGAAATGGCACCATGCACAATGGTCTGGGCTCTCCCCTATCAATCACTGTGGAAACCTACAGAATTGATTCCATTTCATTTTGATTTAAGGTCAGAGAGTCTGAGTCTCTAATTACTCCTGTGAGGTCAAACAACAGTATGTGTGGCCTAAGGTGTGGCTACTGTGTGTCTTACCTGGACAACAGGAGGTCGGCCTAAGATGTGAATGCAACAGGACTCTGCATGTCCTGGCAAAACAATGGAATACTTAACTCAGGATAAGGTTACTTGATGTTTTGGATATTGAGAAGGTAAATATGCTTTCTTGTTCTTTGTATCTTGGTAAAGAAGTCTTTTACCTTCTCCCCTTCTTTTGATGGAGGTAGAAAAAGACTTTGAACAATAAACATGGGTGCTTCAGTACTCACCGAATGTCCTTTTACTCTATTTCCTGTCTCTTGTCTAATTCTTCCCTCAATCCACACTTCTCCTTCTAAGCAGGACAGACTAGCCTGCAGGACTGGACAGAGCCCCGCCCCCTCACCCTCTGATCATGGGTTACTAGAAATTACTAATTAAGAAAATGCCCTACAGGCTTGCCTACAGATCAGTCTTAGGGAGGCACTTCCTTTAATGAGGTTTACTCCTCTCAGATAACTTTAGCTTGTATCAAGTTGACATAAAACTACCCAGCACAGCAAGTGAATTTGCAAGTCAAGCATGAGCTCTCAAAATCTGTCTCCAGTAACATAATTCCAGCATCAAAGCCAAACCCCTAAGTCTCCCCCAAACAGCTCCACCAGCTGGAGCCCAACTGTCCAAATATCCAAGCCTATTGAGGACATTCCCCTCTCAAAGCAGCACAATTATTATTACAGCCATTGTAACCACTTTTCTTCTGAAATATTGTCACTCATCTCAGGAAACTAAGTTTTTCATCTATAGTAAAATCTTACCATAGTAGGTTAGAGAATTAAGATGATTAAATCCATTTGCTAGCTAAGTGACCTTCATAAATTGTGTTATTTTTGTATGCCTTGATTTTTTTCAGTCTTTAATGAGGCAGGGGAAAATAATGTCTACTATGTAAGGTTGCTGAAAGGATTAAGAGAAGCAGTGAGGGCTGGAGAGATGGCTCAGCTATTAAAGGCTAGGCTCACAACCAAAAATATAAAAGAAGCAGTGAATTAATAGTACATGCTCAATAAATGATGGTTATTGCCCCGAATGGTGTTTAGATTTGTGGCTCCATCTCTCTTAGGCAGTAGAGGTCTCCATCATATCCAATGGGGACTCATTTCTGTATGAAAGTAGTCACTCAGTTCAGCTTCCAAACTCCATGGCAGAGAAACTAATCAAAGAATCACAACCCTGTCTGAAGGTAGAAAAGTCTGGAAATAAGAGACTAGGAAGTAGTTAGGCTCCCATGACAAAGAGTTACTTGAAGAGGTGGACATTAATGAAGAGTATCTAAGGTCTAGTACTGATGTCCACTCACACTACCCTTAGTTGTATCTCAATTAGCTCATATGTCTAGAGTTTAAAAATTAATGGTAAGAAAATAGGAAGGAAAAAAACATATGCCATGGACAAGCAGAAAGAATGAATTGACAAGTGTTTGTAAACTTCTGTGGAAACAAGAAACCCTGCTAAATAAACATTTAATATTGCTCACAATATTAGCTGGCTTCTTCATCGTGAGCTGTATCAGTGCCTCAGTGTTTCTCCTACTGCAATACATTCCCTTTAACCTCCTTTTCCCAGACAGCACACACTTCCAAATTTAATTATTCTGTCAATTGTGTTTTAAAGTGTACTGATTTCCATTAACTGCTTGTGGTATCCATTTGTTGATCTTTTCCTTCTGAACCATATCTTCACACCCACCAAAAGCTGGAAAGGCAGTTAACGCTTTTGAGGACAGTGAGTTAGTCAAGAGAAATCAACGCATAAAGGTAAAGGCAGTGGTAACACCGGGTTTAAAAAGAGCACTGAGGGAGAAATACACGTACTGAAAAGTACAGTACTGAAGCAGGTCGAGCCACGGAGGGGAGAGAGGCAAGCAGGGTGGAAATCCAGCTTGCAACACTTCCATCTCTCTCAGCACCAAGGACAGAGCTTCTGAGCCGCTAACCCAAACAACGTTCAGTGGGGTCCCTCCCAGAGGCTCTAGGGAACACGGGTGCCTTGGCAAAGCAGCTATGAAACAAGCAGTGAGATCTGATAGGAAAGCTGCAAGAGTAGTTCACAAGTAATTTCCACCTCAGAGGCAAAACCAGGTGATTTTCTTTCTGTATGGAAATGATTCCATAGTTTCTGTGTCCTGGGAAAGGCAAAGTTTGCTTTGCTTCCGTGTGTCTGCCATCAGTAAATGGCTTCAGGAACTGAGGTGCTAAACTCTACGGTCTCCAGACACCAGAAGAAATTTTCAGGGTAAGTGGATTTTTCTTTTCATTCCTAATTTAGTGGAAGATTATTTGATTAGCTTGGAATGCTTTGGTTCTCTAAGAACATGCATTAAATCTCCGAGCTACTCTGGGTTTAAAACATAGAACCCCGAGGAAGCTGTGTTCATTTCATTAAGGGGTTGGAGCTGCTCTTTTTTTACCCCAGCCCCCAAGTCCAACTGTGTCCTGATGGGCTCTAGAATCTATATCAAAGCATACATAAAAGACAGAAAATAAAAACCAGTAATTATTCCTGGGAGTTGTAGGGAGGTTGACTGTATTCCTCTTAAGGGTTTTACCTAATTGTCAGAGTCTGGTATTTTAAACTCCCCATTTCATCACCTCAGTAATGCAGGGCCGAGGGTTTAGAGCAACTCCGTTTTCAATCTATTTAAAGTCAAGCTGCTCCCAAGTCAGAATCCAATTATCACAACAGAGATATGTAGTTCTTGAAAGGATGACTGTGTGTGTTTTCTCCAGTGATGGTATATGACTCGGAAGAAGTCATTGTTTAACTGTGGGACTTCCATTGCTTACCGTGGCTTATTGGGTCAATAGAGTTTGTGTAATTAGGCACTTGTGCCACTTAATGCATCTAGTTTAATCTAATACCATCTCGATGCATGCACTAACAGTAATGTAGCAATAGCAAAATGAAACTCAGATGCTAAACACATTCTGCATGCCTGTTTGTACTTTACAGGTAAAGTCCTTTGCTTACTAATACTACAAGGTCAACTCTCTGCCCTTAGGCAAGAATGAAAGACAGACATTTGACCTGGCCTTGAGATCTTGTAGCACCCAAAAGGAGAGATAATGTGAAATTCCTACTCAGACACTTGTTTATTTATAATTGGGTATATAATTATGGCTAATGGTGGACAAGTGTATTGAGTAAAGTAAATATAACATCCTACCAGAAGTCTCCTTATAATCAAACAATCAATATGTCAAACATCAAATAGAGTCTACCCAGTATAAGATTTAATTTCTAATGCACTAAGGTTTGCTATCCATTAATAGTGACTTGGTCTACTGTATTTCCCCATTTTATCTCTGGTTAGGATCACAAAATCATCTGTTTTGGAAGATTGTCAAAGAAAGTAAGCATGCTTTATTGGTCAGGTTCAATGAGAAAAAAAAAGAACTGTATTATGCTAGCTTATGGATCTCAGTAAAACCAACCATGGCTTTTCCTCTGTCTATGTATCAACAATGTAAATATATCCAAATCTTTAAATATGCTATATACTTCAATGCACTTGTGAATCTTCATTATGAAATGAATTAGAGAGCAATTTGCAAGAATAAAGCACCATAGAAATGCTAAAGACTACCTCTAATAATAATGACAATATAACTCCCACCGGCTCTGTGAGCAGTGCACACCTGCATTGACTTTAAAAAGCTGGGTAAGGAGACGTGCACAAGCTACTCTGAACATACAAGATCTTCACATTATCTCCACTTCAGGTTTGTCTGCTTCACCTCCATCATGGAGGACTTCGGGACAGAAGTTCTGGGCTCAGGAACTTGGGTTGAATCAATTTCACCTTTCACTGGTTTATGGTCTCATTTAGAAATTAATCTTGCTGTGACCCAATCTCTTCATCTAAAGAATGGGGAAGATAATAACACCTACTTTATTCTTCATATTGTCTGGGAATTTCAATACGATAAGGCTTATAAGTATTAGCTGTTAAAAGTATTAATTTTATCAGGCAACTGGAAAGTCTGAGTTGAAGCAAAGGCTAGAAAAACTGGACACTGGAGCTCAGCATGTTTGTTAGTGAAAAGACAACAGATGTCTGGGACCTCGAATGTGAAAGCTGATATGTCATGGAAGTCACTGATTCATTCTGGCTCAGGGAAACTCCACCTCAACCTAGGAATGACTCCCAGCATCGATTTCTACCATATAGACATACTAAGTAGGTTGTGAGTTTTCAACTTGAGAAGCCCCAATCAGAGGTTGGCTCACACCATACACTGTGCAATCGTTGGCAGGGAGAAGGAATACAAACAAGAATTCATTTTCTCCTGGTTGAGGAGAAATGAACCTCTTCAATGTGTATATGCTTATGTCCTTTCCTCGGTGCCTGGGTTTTAAAGATTTTTGGTCCATGGTCATTCTGCCCCATTGTTGTTGGCCTCTAGTGAGAGTGTCACAGCGGAGAGGATGTGACAGAACAGATTGTTCATTCCATGGAGATCAGACAGAGAGTCACACTGTATGATCTTGAGAAAGTTGCTGAACCTTTCTGTGTCTCTGTTACAATACTTAAAGGGAAAATGCCCATATCTTCCCTCAAGAGATACTGTAAACATTAACAAATGTCACATGGGAAGTATTAGTGTCTGCCTCGCACAAGAAATATCCCAGAAGTCCTTGTCTTTGGAAGGAGGCTAAATACTCAAAGTATTTGGTTTTGTTATGTTTGGGGTTTTATTAATTCATTGTCTTTAAGGAAAAGGAGCAAATAGTTTAATCATGTAAATTTTTTAAGTATTTCTTTTAATTTTGAGATTATAATATAAACTCATCATTTCCTACTTCCTTTTACTTCCTCTAACCCCTCTGACATTTCTCTCCCTTCTCCCTTTACTTTCTTTTTCTCTCCAAAATTCACAGCCTCTCTTTTCAATAATTATTGCTATATGCATCTGTGTACATGTATATATAGCCTGCTCAGTCTGCATAATGTTATTTGCATGAGTGATTTCAGGGCCGACCATTTGGTATTGGATAAACAATTGGTGTGTTCTTCCCTGGGGAAGACTATTTCTCCAGCTCTCAGCATTCGTTGGTTGCCTAGCGCTCCTTGTGTAGTGCTGAGGCCTTGTGGGCTTTCCCCCCATCCTCTTTGGCATGCCTATTGTAGTCCTCTCTCAGCTCATGTCAAACAGTCATGTTGGTGAGACTTTGTGTGTGAGACCTTGTCCAGGAGCCCTGAGGAACTGAACATGGGCAAAGCAGGATATACGTCCCAGATAAAGAGAGCTTATCCATTCTGTTCTTCTGGCTTTTAAACTACATCGCACAAACATCCTAAAAAGGCTAGAACATACCAAAAAGACCAGGATGAATCCATACTTTATATGAAATTCAATCTTCTTAAAATTCATAAGCAATGTTGTATGTAGTGTATCTTAAGAGACAGAGGCTAACAGTAATCTTCTAGCCTTTGTCCTCCCCCCCACCCCCATGGTATTTGTAATATATGAGCACATGTGTGGTACGTGGTACAGAAATCAAAAGATGTCAGATGTCCTACTCTGTCATACTCTGCCTTACTCCCTTGAGTCTCTTCATTGAATCTGGAGCCACATTGGCTGACAGCCATATACAGATTTCTAACTGAGTGTTAGAGATTTGAACTGAGACCCTCAAGCCAGCCCAGCAAATGCTCTTCCCCACTAAGTCAACTTCTCAGCCTCCCTTCCTTACTTTCTCACCTTCCATATACTCTTAACTCCTACCATTCTCCGTCGCAGTCACGAGTAATCTCCTAGTCAACAAGTCCATCAGGTGACTGGCAGCTTATTTCTTTCCTTTGCCTTCTCACACCTTCTGGTTAACATTAAAAGCTGCACACTAGGTCTCACACTGGAGCAACACTTTTCCAGTGGGAGAGTATTTTGCTCCTTCCCCCATTTGAGACTGAGCAGCATCCAGTCTTTGGCTATTACAACTAGTAGCTAGATCAAGGACACTGTTAACCATCAACAATGCATAAGACTTCCTGCAAAACAAAGAATTATCTGCCCAGTTGTACAAAGTGCCAAGGCTTTAAGCATATAATTGCATTTGGTCTTCACAATAACCCTATGAAGTAGGCATGATTTATCCTCAGTCTGCTGATGAAACAACTGGTCTATCATGAATTATTTGGAGAGTGATTATTAAGTTAATAAATTCTTCAGACTCCCAGCTTCATCCTAAGATGAGTTTACTATCTGTTAGCACATCTATCAGAAGGATAAAGAGGGGAAAAATGACCCAGCTCAGAGTTGTATAAGAAATCCTCCTTTAAAAGGAAAAAAACTCAAAAAGGGGAAAGAAGTGGAAATAATTAGCCAAGAGGCAGGGAGCTATGTAGTATATCTCCCTCATCTCTGCTTCCTTTTAACTTTCATACCCAGAAGTCTGGAACAACCATGTCTACCCACCTGCTGCTAGGAAGAATCTCAGACCGGAAGTAGTGCAATGTGAAAGTACAAACCAGAAATCCATGTAGTTGTGCTTCCGACACCAGGTCCAGAACTGGCTTTGGGAAGTGAGGACCGCCCTTCTTACAATCAGCCCTTGACATTCCCTGTTCCCATGTTAAGTGGCTGTCAACTCTCTGGGCCAAGCACAAAGCCTGGAAACATGGTGACAGGAATCCCATGGTTTACTGCTTCCCTTATCGCTTGACAGGTGAGGGAAGTGAGGGTTTCATTAAGCTGCTGCAGACTCCAGAGAAAGAGGAGATGCTGGCCCCTCCTTGACGGTGGCCCAGCTGTGAAAGGCAAGGTATTATGGGCCTGAGTCTGCCTCCGAAGGAGAATATCCTTGACAAACCAAAAGCGCTGTGTTTTTCCAAAAGCTCTTGGCAGCAGCCATGCTATCTCCAGGGTAGCTGCCACCCTTCTCCTAATAATGAGGAAATTATAATTATTACCAAGAATTATTATTATGTGTTAAAAAATATATTGACTGCAAACAATGTGCTGGGGTAAAGAACACTTTAAAGTAATTCTCTGAATGCATTCCAAGTTGGTCACCCTTTTCTAATATTTGTTCATTTTAATACTTGTTTCAGACAGAAATGTTTCAAATGAGGTGTAAGATGATAGCCATGATTAAGCTAACCGTTTCATTCTAGCGGAGCTGTAAGTGGCAAGATTAAGAGTAAACCCTGACCACCACCAGCTTCTGCTCCCACTAAACTCCCACCTCTCGACCATGCAGGAAATTAAGACTTCAGCTGACAGATTTCGGGGGCACACAGCATTCAGGCTGGCACAAGGCCAGAGTGGCCCTAGAGACTGAAGTAGGAAACCCTTTTACCTGGGTTTCAGGGTCACAGTCACAGACTCCAGCCCCCTTTCTAGCATGTGACCCTGGTGCACTGATATCCTCAGCACACAGGCCTTTTCTTTGGGTGTGAGGTCTCTCATGCACGTGAACATGAAAATAATGGCTTTGAGAACCCAGAGTCGTTTCTGTAGGTCTGGTCCCTACAAACTGGTATAATTGGTGAAGCTAATGAACTCAGGTGTCTTTGTCACTCTGAACCCAAACTTTCTTCATACATACATACATACATACATACATACATACATACATATTAAGCAAAGTCTCACTATGTAACTCTGGCTGTCCTGGAACTCACTGTGTTGATCAAGCTGGCCTCAAACTCACAGGGATCCACCTGCTTCTGCCTCCTGAGTGCTGGGATTAAAGGCGTGCGCCACTGCTTCTGACTCGACCCTGTATGATTTGAGGGCTTATTTTCCCCAGTGGGATGGTACCAAGGTAATTGCTATAGCTTCCAATGATAAAAGGGAAAACCAAAAGAATTAGAAGACTATAGAAAGCATAGGACTTACACTATGTTCCTCATGTCTTTGGGGTTGATCTCCCTGCTTGGAAAGCAAGGACATTGATCTGGATTAAGACAGATTGAAAACCACTCATTATTGGCCCATGGATATTGGTAGGTACTAGTGGGCTTTATAGAGATTAAACATTTTCAGATGGTAACTAAAGTTTTAAGATTAGGAGCTTTCAAATAAAATTCTACATGTGGATTTCCCATAAAAAACACTGTACTACGCTCAAGCACTCAATATTTTCTTCTATAATCTAGTCTCTGAAATCCATCATTCCCTGTGTAAAATATGTGAGAGAATGGGATATTGAAGGAAGTTACAAGAGACTAATAGAGATGGGGAGGGGGATATGTATCTGTAGAGATTGGAGGAGGGAAAACGGGAAGTGAGAACTGGGGAGATGACTTGGTGGGTAGGAGCATTTGCTGCACAGGCATTAGAACCAGAGTTCAGATTCCAGCATCCACATAAAGCTGGCTGTGGCCAGATGCACTGTGAGGGGCAGAGATGAAAGGGTCTCTGAGCTTCTGCCTGTATGCCTGGCTTCATGTTCAGAGAGAAACTCTATCTCAAAGGAATAAGGTGAAGAGAAATGGAGCAGGAGATTCAATACTGTCCTTTGGCCCCCACATTCACACATAGGAACATGCACTCACACATACACACATTCAAACATCACATGCTACACTACACTCACCTACACACACACACACACACACACACACACACACACACACACACATTTTTATTAAAAGTTTGAAAAGAAGGGGAACTAAGATGAACAGACTGATAAGAAAAAAAAGTCAACACAGTACTTGCTTAGTATCTGAGGTATATAAGGCCTGGCTTCCAAAGTCTAACACACAAAACAGTTCTTTTATAAGCCAGTAATTGTGGTTCGTGCCTGTGATCTCAGCATTTGGGAGTCTAAGGCAGTAGAATCACCTTAGTTTGAAGCCAGCCTAGACAATGTTCCAAGCTATTCCGGCTACAGATGGAGACCCTACTCAAAAACAAATAATAAATTAAAAAAAAAAGTTCTGTTCTTTTTTGTGGGGGGGGGGATGGACTCAAACCCAGGGCTGTGATTTGTGTACATTGCCTCTGAGCTATAATCCTGCCTTGGGAATTATTTCCAATGCCTGCAGTGAAAATCTTAGGAAACAGGCTCTATCATTCCACATTTTATAGAAGAGAAAACAGAAGCTCAGAGAGAATAGCATGTCTCTGGTCCTAGCGGAATGGCCAGGAGAATTCTCACATGCGGCAGCTTCATGCTACACAGTGCAAATATGGTTCTTTTAGTCACACACACAAACTCTCAAAGCTCACCTCCCTCTACTCGATTAGACTCCAGCTGTGCTGGCCTTCCTACCACTCACCCCACACCCCAGCCTCCCAAGGCACCCCTGCTCCTTCTGCTTGGACCATACTCTACCAAGTGTCTATGTTGGTTGCTTCTTTATCTCTGCCTGCTTTGACTTCATTGCTAATATATCCATGAAGGCTTCCTGATGATGCCAGTTAGAAATCATTTTCAAATGCTCACCCACAGACGCACTATCCTCAACCACTCCCCAACTCCCATTTCCGATTTACTTTTCTCCAAAATGCATATTATCACTGAACAGGAATTATCATGATTATTATATCCACCCCCCCGGCCGCCATAGACACTTCATAAGGGAGGAAATGTTTATCTGTTTTGTTCCTAGCTGTAGCTCTAGTTCTTACAGCACTGTCTGATATTATGTAGGAAATGTTCCACAAATATTTGTAGACACAGAAATGTTAAACTGTATCTGCATATCCCAGCCTCAAAAGAAACTCATTTGACCCACGTTGTTTTCTGTCTTTCCCTAGAAACATTTTGGTGTCACATTCCTCTGTCTGGGCTATGGCACCTCTGAGCCAGATAAGCAACCACATCAACTCCACCTGTGGGGCAGAGAATATCACAGGTGCCAACCGGGCCCGTCCACATGCCTACTATGCCCTGTCCTACTGTGCACTCATCTTAGCTATCATCTTTGGCAATGCTCTGGTATGTGCAGCTGTGCTGAGGGAGCGTGCCCTACAGACCACCACCAACTACCTGGTGGTGAGCCTGGCTGTTGCAGACCTGCTGGTGGCCACGTTGGTGATGCCTTGGGTAGTGTACCTGGAGGTAAGTGGGCTCATGGTACGCACTGCTCTGCAGTGGGAAAAGATTCGGAATACCCCTTGTAGTGCTCAGGGGACTAGGGAGGGAAGGAAAACCTGCTGGCATTCTCCCTTTAGTGAGACAGCTGATACCTGAGGAAGCTCACGGGAACCAGAGGCCTGGGAATGTTTCTATGCCTGTGGCTCTGGGGCTGGACTTCAGTGATGGGACCATTTCTAAAATTACGGTCTGTACCAGCCATGTGCTAGTGATGGAGGGGCATTCTGAGCATCTTCAGTCAGGCTCAATGTATCTGTGATGAGGGAGTATGGGGCAAGGGGGAGAAAAATTCTAGTGAAAGAGAGAAATGGTAGAATGATCAGTAAATAGAGCAGTCCTCCCTCCCTTCTCCCTCCCTCCCTCTCTCCCTCCATCCTTCCCTCCATCCCTCTCTCTCTCTCCTCCCCTCCCTCCCTCCCTCCCTCCCTCCCTCCCTCTATCTCTCCCTCCCTGTTTCAGCTGCCCTTCATCTTGGTTCTTTACTCCTGGCTGATGGCTCTCCCTAGATTCTGCTACCAAAGTATCAGGCTAAACCTTCAAATTTAAATTCCCCATGCGTACATTAATAGTAAAAGCCCTCACCACTCAGAAAATGCAGCACAAACTCTAGAGAATTAATTCTGGGAGGAGCATTTCTTAAATTTGGAAGTATTTTCATTTAAAGGTGAAAATAGAGTTAGAAGGTGATCAAGACAAAACATCCATTTGCTAACAAGGAAATCAGGGTGCCTACATCTGTTCAAGAAACACGCACCCTTACCAGGAAAACATGCAATTATTAAAGAGATGTTTTAAACGCCTTAATATGCTATTAATATTTCTCCTCTGCACTGAGTGTCACTCTAAAGAGATATCCAATGAAGGATCAAAATGATGCTATGATTAAGAGAAATTAAGATTCATCAAATTAATATTTCAGTTAATATTAATAGTGAAGGTGACAGTTAATTAAGTATGACATATCACGGGAGAGTAAAAGCCTTGAACACAGACTGCCTATGCTAGTACCCGTATTAAAGAGTGACTGGGTACTAAAATTAGACTCATAAGTACAAGTGGGGGGCACATGAGAAAGTAAATGAATTGGTATAGAAGGAACAGAAAGGAAAGAAAAACAAGCAGCCTGATTGAGATAGTTCTAAAGGAGGAAATATGTATTTCTTCCTCCCAGTTAGGATAATCTTAAATAGTGAGAGATCTTATCATTATCTTGACTTTTCTGTCATTCCAATTATGCCAAGTCATCCTTCAAATCAAGGCAACGTCTTGCTCTTCTCCTGGAATCACGCTGCTTACTGTAAAGGGGATGAACTATTTATTATTTGATAGCAAATGATAATGAAAAAGGAGCTCAAAACACATACTGTTTCTGTCCAAAAAATGATACCCTTCCCATGCCACAACCCAGTGACTCCTAGTAGCAGCCATACCCTGCTAATCATTACAGTTCAGGGTCTTTTTGGCCCTCTTACAAAATGATTACCAGAAAGAAATGGAGGCAAAGAAATATCACTCCAATAAATCCTTCCATTTATCTATAAAAAATTAAGCATTTGATATCTATAGTAAAGTTGACCAAAGAGAGGGACTCTTGGGATGGCTGTTTGTGATTACTTCTAGAAATCTGTTTGTACCAAAATGGAAATTTTCTGTACAATCTTGTTTACAAAATAGACACTGTGACTTTTTTGCACTGGAAAGCCATCACAATTCCCTCATAATTACAGCTGTCAATATTAGTGATGTCCCCAAATGTTTGAACACAAGAGAGCAACCAGGTTTGTAGAAAACCATGAGACACTTGGCCAAAGCCCTTACAGCCTCTCTGGAGTGGTATCTATGGGTTGTCTCCCATGAAAAGTGTCTGTGGTGGAGCTCTTAGCCCCAACCTCCTTCCCAAAAAATAAACAACAAAAAGCACCAGCAGACTATGTGGGGTAGTTTTCAAAAAGCCAGAACATGGTTGATGAAATCTACATTCAACTAAATACATGGAGGAGCAGAGGCATGTCCCCCATAGAGAAATGGGTTGGCTCTGGAAGCCACTTTTTGTCTTACAAAATTACCTCAAGGTTCTAGTGACTAGAGTCTAGCCAATGCAATACAATACCTCAGAGAAGTTCTCCAATAGCCAAGGATCTGTCTTGCTGAAGCACAAGGTAAGACTAAAGGCAGCCATTATTCGATTATGATGATTGTGTCTCAGGAAAAACCAACTGCTGTGCTTATTAATGAGGCATGAAGATGGTACAATTATCCTTCACACCTAAGAGGAAAGGGTGTGGTGTGGACCAAAGATGCTGCTGTTGGTTTAAGAGCTAATGGGTTTAAAAGCCCTCAGAGGACAGGACACACATGAGAAGGAAACTATCCGAGAGACAGAAGACTCACAAAGCCCATAGTCTGACTTGAGTATGCTCATCTTTTCTGAAGAAAAATTGACCAACTTTCCCATAGTAGCATGTGTGAGTTAGAGGGGATGTTGGTGTTGGAAATATCAGAAAGCTTGACTTGCTGTGATTTAAACAAAAGGGGTTATTTTTGTCACATGCCGGAATTCCAGAGGAAGGTAGCTGTTGCTGTTACTTAGCTGCCCTGTGGTGTCATCGCGGTCTATGCTCTTTGATCTGTCCTTTTGGCTGTTTTGGCAAGCTACCCAGTTCTTTATACTATGACAGAGCAGCTGGAGAAGCCTCAAGCATCATGTCAGTGTCCAAACGCAAGACAGATGGGAACGGTGTCAGAAATGGGGTTGGGGAGTTCTGAATCAGCTCAGCTTGAATCATCTCCCCAAGGGTTTCAGTCTAGCTGGCCAGAACTGAGTCATGAGCTGGACAAGGCCAGAAAAGAAAAGGATGAAACTGAAGTTTTGTTTTTCAAAAATACACAGAGGGTGAAGAGTAGCTATGAAGAGAAGGGCGATAAGTTATTATCTAACACGTCCTCTGCTAGAATTCACTAGAATGAGTGTCATTCCAATACAGGGTCACTTTATGAGAATGACTCAGAACAGAGCATCCGAAAGACATGAAATTACATGAATTAAATGGGGACAGCAACACTTTTTATGCTGGGCTGACATTAGTCTCAATTGTCATCACCTAAGAGGTTGCCTTGGTAGCTAAAAAGCATGATCTATAAGTACATCCATCCAGAAATTTTTAGTTATAAGTCAAAGAAAACTCAACCACACTCAGCTTAAATTGTAAGCACAATGAATTGGCTCCCATTTTAAACAGTCCTGTGGCAGTGCGGGCTGCGGACATACTTTGACAAGGGCTCTAAACTCTAACTCTGTTTCTCTGCCGTTCCTTCTGTTCTGCCTTCGTCCATACAGACTGCATGCACAGGCAGTAAGTCTAAGCCTCACATGTGCACGCCATACCATCCACACAAGGAGGAAATTATTCCCCAGGAATTCTGGGAATATCAAGGGTGATCAGTTGGACTTTCCCCGAACTGATCACCAGTCAGAACTAGTTTAACGTTGTTTAAAACTGTGTCCCTTCCAAGGAACACATCAGTGTTCAGAGCTCTTATGGGTTCCCGGTGGAATCCAGGGATGGCTGTAAAGATACACCATCAATGTGAAGCACAATCAGCCATCAGGAATGGCATCTTCCTCAGGAGCCCTCGGGAGGTGCCTAACAGGAAGCTCATGGGGGCCAGTTACAGAACTACCTCAGTGTTCTCTGCCCTCTGTCCTTGTAGAGATGTTCAGGACAAAAAAAGGATGTGGGTGACCTTACAAGTTGTATTTCAGAGGGTCCCTAGCTTAGCTGTTTCTTTAATTCAGTTTTCACATTTTCTGGAACACTTGTTTCTATGAAGTGCTGTGGCATTCTATCTCAGATTAGCTTTCCAGTTTCTAATTTCCTGCTCTACAGCCCAGCAGTCTGGAGCTCTCTCTTCAAGCACAAACATCTTCCTTGGTTCTACTTGGTTAAGCACTTTTTGTGAGACTCAAGGCAGTTACATAAGGATGGAGAGGGAAAGAAAGAATGCAGGAGAGTCTTTGAAATACAAACAGTCCCCACTACTGATGCTCTGACATAATTTTGTCATCTTTATGATGGCATGAAAGTAATGCAAGTTCATTAGAAAGCACACTTCAAATTTTGAATTCCGATCTTCTCCCAAGCTAGCTTTCCGTAGCACAATATCCCCAAGTGTCCCAAGAAGCATCAAGAATCACAGCTTCCATTCAGTCCCATGACCCCAAGGGGAAACTATTAACTGCAGTGGCCCTGTGCTGCTAAGCTGTGCTTAACATTTTCAACTTACAACACTTTCTGCTAGGTTTATTGAGGATTAAATCTCAGTTTGGGCAGGAGAAAAGATTCAAGGAATAAGAACTGTAGACAAGCAGGAAAAGTGACCCACTCCTCTGAGGAGTTACAGATAGTTAATGATTACAGGGGGTGAGACATTTTCTTTGGTGGTATAGCCATTGGGAAAGTATCCATGTGCCTATAAATAACCCCTATCCACACTCTTATAAGTAAATTTAATAAGCTCATTGAGTCAAACACACATGACATTAAAGAAATATAGAAAAGCAACACAGAAGAGGGTGGGTTCAAGGAGGGACACAACACAGGAAAAAATAGCCTGACAGAAAATAGGACCAGGTAGGAAAGGAGTCTTTGGACCATGAAATGACATCAATTATTAAAAATAAAGCTTTCAAAGACTAGTTGAACCTCAGTTCAAAAATAAATGATAACAATTTAATACCTCCCACTGGAAAACAAAAATTGGGGATTCTCATGAACTCTGGATTTGGTAAAAAATGATAGACTGTTAGAGCTGGAGGAGTTAGGAGATTACCATCCTCTCTGATGTGTAATGGAAGCACAAGAAATTCCTGACCATATATGAGTGACAGGCAGGCCTTGGCGCCTCCATTCTAAACATACTTCTCCATGATGCTACATGTCTTAGCTCTGAGCTGAGGTTTGGCT